GGGGGGGGGGGGGGGGGGGGGGGGGGGGGGGGGGGGGGGGGGGGGGGGGGGGGGGGGGGGGCAAGGACATTTACTGCGTCTGCCTGAGTCCCCAACATGAGCCAGCGAGCCCCTATGCACGTCGGCAATGAAAACATGATCTCGTTTATTCTTCCCTTGCAATCATCCCGTTCGAACTCCCGACCTTTGCTGAAGGATATCGAAAGGTCCGCTTTCCGACCCACCCCCCTGCCCTTCGCAAACGTGCATGTACAGGCTCGAGACTTTTGCACGCTGGTTCATTTTCGAACGCTTAGCGATGGCACCTTGGCTCAGGTCTCGAAGCCGGTCGAGCATCCGGCGGCCCCCCGCACCAGCCGCTACGTTCGGAGCGAGATCCTCTTGGCGTGAGTGGGGTCATCGATGTGGCCACGTGGTAGATTCGCACCGTATGTTGTGCTCTGCTGTGCTGCTACTGCTGTACCTTACGGCAATGGAAATTGTTGCAAGGTCGCTGCATGTCGTCCTCTGCTGCGCCGCTACTGCTGTACCTTATGCTAGTGGAAATTGTTGCAAGGTTTGCCATGAGACACGGAAAGAGTCGAACGTACCCTCCCAGCGGGCGGCTCGCTCACCCCGTGTTGTGTGTTACGTACACAGCCCCCCGTGTAACGTTCGTCACCATAAGCCACCCGCACACTCGCACGGTATCCTTTGGTGGAGCCTTTCTGCAGTTCATGGTGCTTCGGTCGGTAGGGGTCGTCGCCCTTGGGTAGGCTCCGTCCGTGTAAGTTTTGATGAGAAGCACTGGGTATCATTGCGTGAAGGTCACGACAGCCCCGCACACGCACGTTGTCGTTTTCGCGCAGCGGAAACTTCATGCGACCGGTCCCGGGTGACCCTTCGCGGACCGAGTTTTTGATGGTGACACACGTGAACCCAGGTGATTTATTCTTTCGTAAACACAGCTCGGCGTTAGTGTCCATTCATTGTCCTTCCTGTGCAAGGACCGCGTATCTTCCTCTCTTGTTCCCCTCTTGCCCTACTTTTGCTCCCTCTTATCTTGCTCTCCGAGACCAAATAACACGATTATTTGAGGGCCTTTTTGGCGTCGTAACCCTGCTCCAAACTTAATCGGTGCTTTGGAATGGGATCGGCTGCTGCTCAGGAAGAAGACCATAGTCTCCAGAGTTTAGTGTGATGTCATGGAGGCAAACGCACCACACCCCCACTTGCATCCTGCCGTAATCGTCGCTTATATGTGACCGCTTTTCTTTTGTCCGTGCTACAACCCGGTGTGTCACCCGTACCCTACAACGTCTTGTGCTGATCCTACAAAGGGTGGAACGAATTTCCGTGCGGTCAAGGGTTAACCCGCGTCAGGTACAAAACAGAATGGGATGGACTTGGACAAAACAACTCACCACCTCGCGTTTGAACCGTTGTCTATGTTCTTGCGGCGACAGGGGGCGCCGCAGAGACCAGAGCCGGTGCCATGCTCGTAAACTCGCTGTGCACGAGCTCCCCGGTGACCTTCATCCGCAGGCTGGAGGTGGCCGCAAAAAAGCTGATGCTTGAGTTGCAACAGCAGCAGAAGAGAGCGCCTCATGGGGCCGCAGGTGGGGACACCGGTACCGGTGATGTTGATAAGGATTGGGGGGGGGCAGCGAAGGAGCAAGAAGAGGGGAGAGAGGGGGGAGGCAGTTTAGAGGGGGAGCGGGGGGTTGGAGGGGTAAAGGGAGAGGGGTGGGGGGAGAGGACGGCGGCGGCGGCGGCGGCGGCGGCGGCGACAGTGGCTACTCCGGATGATGGTGCCGCACGTCGGCCACAACCGGAAATGCCTCCCAGCCCACCCCCGCCACCACCGTAGCCAGTGGAGACTAGACCTACTGACATCTTCCCTGCCGTAACGGAGTAGAAGCACGGCTACAGTATTATATATAGTAGGGCGTGTGTTCTCGTAGTCAAGACACACCGACGGGATGGTTGGTAAGAAAAAACTATTGCCGTGATCGATGGATGGCTGAGGAGAATCGCGGCGGCGGCGGCGGCGGCGGCGTTGGTGGTGCTGATGCGCTCGAGGCGTTGGTGACAGTGGTCCGTCGTCGAGGCGACGTGGCCAGGCGTCTTTTTGCACGCCTGCTTGCGGGAGGCGTGGAACCTAGATGATAATCTCCATATTCTTGCTTGGGGATGTGGTCTGTGATTGTCTCGGATTGGTCGTGCCTCTGCCCTCTCTGTGTGTTGCGCCCTTCAGGCCCTCGGCGTCAGATACTGCGGTAGGGTGCGCTTGGTTTGCTTGTTAGTTCTCGCCCCTATCGATCCGTACCTGGGCGGCATACCATGCAGAGAAACGGCGGGGAAGTGGAGGTATCATCCCACGCTTAACTTGTGCTTGGGGCTTTTTTCGAGAGCGGAAAACCGCCCCCCGTTTTACTTTGTTGACAGAAGACGTGACGTGACCGCCAGCAGGTTTCCCGTAGGATGGACAATTTTCACACAAGTTGTAAAACTCGCAGTTGGTGTGTTGGTGGAAGAGCTCGGTGGATTTACGGTCGGTAGCGTAATGTAAACGCGCTAGCAGTCACTCCCCTTTCTGCCTAGGTGTGTCATTGTCGACCTATATTCCTCTCCGTGTACATGCTTTTAGTTGGGTGAGGGTAGACACGCATATCCCCGAGTCGAAAACGTGGGGAACGCATCTGATGAGTCGGCGCCGTAGGGCGTGCTACAAATAGTGTGCAAACGTTCTCAAGTGTTTTGTTAGCGCTGTGCAGTAGTTTTCGTGTTAGAGGAGAAGTTTTGGTGGGGGTGGGTCTTCGGAATCGGGGTTAGGGGAGGCGTATTTCTCCTTTTTGGCAATCCCAACGGAAGGGCTTTATTCTTCTCGAGATAGAAATTGAGGCAAGCACGGCAGAAGGGAGGTAAAGAAAACAGTATAATTAAACTTCCGTGTGTGGTTTTCCTCCTTACTTGCCCCGGTTGATCCGCCCAGAACACACCGTAAAGCCTGACTGACTGCCAGAATTCATGGGACGATACCACGATACACACACGCCGTGGCGGTGTGACCTCTACAGACATGATCGAGCTGCTTGACAGCGTAGAAAAGAGCAACGCCGTTTGGCACCACGTCGGTCCAAGCGAATAGGACTTGAGGACAGTTTGGGGTGAACACGCCCCTGTCCCCGTTGCTTTTTTGTTTTTTTCCGAGGTCTGGACATTTTGCCTCGGCCTTGGCGATCGGCTTCCGTGTGTGGTGTTTTGCGCCCGCGCAGCACTTTTCTCTGTGGCTGGCACTTCGTGTTCGTTGTGTAGGCTGCTGTAGAAAGGCTGCTAGCCTACTGCGGTGGATCGAGTAAGCTCTGACGTACCTGACTCGCGATGGTTGGCCACGCTGGAGTGGAGGTTTTGGGTCGGAGCGTGCAACGAGTGTGTCGTGCAAGACTTGAAATATTTCCTACAGTGTGCAATGGCACGAAGAACGATCGATCGCGTTCAGTTCGTATACCCAACATATCGATCACATCTATATCTGTCCCACTCCCTGCATGTGTGATGTCGAGCCCTTTCTTTTTTATGTTTGTGAGTAGATGAAAAATGGGCGCCCCCGCCACCGCAATCTCTCTCCTAGTGCGACGATGACCTGGGTGAGGTGGATGGAGATGGCGATGGAGAGGACAGCAAGACATCAACATAGCACGGGCGAAGGTCGCCGGCTGCAGTGCTTGGAGATTTCTGAGTTCGCACGCTGTTGTCCAGCGGGTGGGATGTACAACGGGCGATGTTGCCACGTTGGGAAAAATTTCCCTGTCGCGAGAGCTCTCGTTGACGTGCTACAACATTTGTACGTGGTCACGTTCCGTTCGTATAGATGGAGGAAATCGCTTTTGCTTTAGGAACGCCTGGCTCAGGGAGTGAATGCGGCATCTTACGTAAGAAGTTTGCATCTATGCTATTTGTTTTTGAATGTGCTCCTATGAATTTGGGGATACGGTGTTCAACTGCTCCGAAGTGGTGCTTAGACTGTTATTGGTCGCATGAAAAAATTGTTGCAGTAATTATAACAACCAATCTCGGAAGAAGCGGGTACAGCAGTACTATCTTGCCACATTGACTATTAATGATCTCAAATGATCAAGGACATCACGACACCTAAGATGACCTTTCCACTTCCTACACGAGCTCACGGCGCTGTAGCATATGCATTGCATCTACTGCTGTAGAGTAGCGGCGGATATTAGCAACCACATAGGCCACCTCCCGCGCCAAAAGCTCGTTCTTCGAAAGTAAAACCAACTACGAAGATATTTAGGTATCGAACGATAGCTAACATCACCACCTTTCTGTCCAAACAAACAAAAAAACGTCGTTAGTGACGAGGCACAACTATTCCCGTTTGCCCAAGTTGAAGTTGAAGTCTTGAGGGTAAAACGGCCTGGGGGGTATTACCAACCATTTTGACGATTGGCTGATTGCGGGGGTTTGAAACCGTTTCAAGACCCAAGATTTGACACACATGCGCCCAACACAATGGTCGTGAAGAAAAATCATTTCTTTTTTTTATCGGTGCCACCCGGGGATGAAAATTGGATATCCCCGGGTTATTGACGCAGATGTGGGGGGCGGGATTTGCCTCCGTTTGCGTGTACGGCGTGATATGTGCATCGAAAACGAATAAAAATATTAGGTTTGGGGCATAAACGGGTTGCTCCTGTCAATAGCCGACCACAAAAAAAAGATCACACCGAAAGGAGTTGGTACGGTCAAGAAATAGTTGTTCAAAAATGGGTATATTTTCGGTACTTTGCGTGCCGCTACGGCAAGAATCAGCCCCGTACACCACGAACCCTGCATAGTCTATTCTGGACTGTTCATACATCGCCACGACATACAATTTGGAGGTAGCATTCAGACATGCATGAGAAACATTTATCGCAAAAAAAAGAAATGGAGGTCACCCGGGGACAGAATCACGACATCCCTGGTTTTCGGTCAAACGCCCCCGCCGCCCCCCCCCGCCCCATTGGCATGCTGTAACGCCACCGTTGCCTACGCTACTATCAACAAGCAACGTGCAACAGGGTATGTATCGACTCCACGTAAAAACTGACGACTTTTGTATCTTGTTTTGTCCTACTCTGAGTGTGGTAGAAAACAAACCGCGGAGAGTCTCATAGGCGGCTACACGTCAACAACGGGTGTCGGCGTCCGCTGCCGTCCAACCAGGGACAAGGAGGGTGCCGGCTGGTGAACGGGCAAAGCCGCCCCTTGTGCTGCAGCCGCTCCTTGACCACGGCCAGGTGAGGCCCCTCTTCCAGCTGCGCTCCCGGCCCCCTCGCCGTCTTCGACCCCCCGTATTCGCCTGTCGTGCCCGCGCCGCCGCCGCCGCGGCCGCCTCTTTCCTCTTCCTTGCGCGCCCCCTTTCCCTCTCCGCTTTCGCCTCGGCCTCTACCTTGTCTGCGCGTTCCTTTGCGTCAACCTTTGCCAGGAATTCTTCCGAGTTGATGTTGCCTCCGTCGGGAAGGCCCAAAGAGCCCCGCGAGGTCGCCAGTTTCTTGGCGCGCTTCCTCTGAGTCAGGAGACCGCCGAGCATCACCGTGCCTACCTTGAGTCCGGTAATGGTATGTCCTCCCGCCTTCAATTGCCTCAGGCCCCTCTCTCCGATGGCCTCTTCCAGCTGCTCGTGGATCATGGCGATGGGGACATCCTCTAGGGGTGGGCGCCCGGTCGGCCCCTCTTTCCTCTTCGCCGTGCCCTGAAGCCGGGTCAGCGCTCGATCCATGTCCACAGGCCACAGCCCCGCCCCGCTGAAGGATGCTTTGTTCCGCTCCGGTGTCAACGAAGACATGATGANCTTCCAGCTGCTCGTGGGTCATGGCGATGGGGACATCCTCTAGGGGTGGGCGCCCGGTCGGCCCCTCTTTCCTCTTCGCCGTGCCCTGAAGCCGGGTCAGCGCTCGATCCATGTCCACAGGCCACAGCCCCGCCCCGCCGAAGGATGCTTTGTTCCGCTCCGGTGTCAAGCTCTTTTGCCAAGCCGCCGCGATCACGCCGGGCACGTCACGCTTCAGCGGTAACAACCCGCCGTTTGCGTGGTAGTAGTCTTGCAGCACTTTAGTCACCTCCTTCTTGAAGGTTCCAAAAGCTGTTCGTGAGTCTGCGAACATTGCTGTTGGATACATGTGCTGGATGATTT